ATGAGTGGAGTTTTCCCATGAGCTTTTTGAAGTCACCTCATATATCCCACCCCCTTTGTGTTTCCTGAGAATACCAGTACACAAAGCCAAATTCAAGGTTCTGGCATTGGAAGAAGCTGGGCTTTTGAGTTTCAAAATGAAATGAGGAAGGCTAGGGACATAATGTTTGTGCCTGAATAGTATGGATTGAACTGTGTAGGGACATAATGTTTGTGCCTGAATAGTATGGATTGAACTGTGTCTCAAATAAGCCTTGGCATCCTAACCCTGCTGCCTGTGGATGCCATCCTATTTGTTAATAGGTTCTTTTGTCACATTAAAAATACCTTGCCACTGTAGGGTGAGCCCTAAAGCCAATCACTTCTGAGTTATAAGGAACAGCATCCACACAGAGACCAACAAGAGGCAGCATCTACAAGGAGGGATGCAGATCATGAAGATACTGAGGAAAGTGGGAAGAGGCAAGGAGAGAGGGCCTTCCCTTAGAAGCAGCCAGAACTTAACGCCTAGCCTCTTCAAGTGTGAGGAATGTAGTCTTCTTCTTGTGTTATATCGGATACAGGGGCACTGGGAAACTCATGTGGAGCTACAAAGCATGTATATTAAAGATGACATGCTTCCTCACACAAGAGGCCATCCCAGCATGAGCTGCTGGTTTCCTCCAAAGGCCCAGCAAAGCTCCAAGAAGAGGTGGAGTTGGGGCATCTTCATGCTCAGCCACTCACATCAACCTTGGGAGGATGCCCTGGGGGACCCTGAAAGTGGTGGAATTCTGATGTGTGAACAGTAGCTTCTGTGACCCTTCAGTCAAGGTCGCTTACTTGTTTCTGAGCACTCTCACCTTTAGCATTTGTTTGGCCTCAGTGGAAATTTTGAGCTATAACTTCCTTTTTAAGTGCAGTTTGCATGTTGGGTAAATATAAGGGCCCCAAATTTTCTGCCTGAATGTCCCCCACCCAACTGTCCACCAATTTCCCAAACGTGGCAACTCTCACTCCTCCACCACCCATCACTACCCATTCTCAAGTCTTCTCTTCTTCTTTGGTCAGTCTGATGAACTTTCATCCCAAGCTATCATAGCCTTCAATTGTATGTATACACTGTCCTCATTTACTTTCAAATTGCTGTTTGGGGCCTTTGGGTCCTTTTCCATTTAGATCAACTCAATGTATGTTTCCATCTGTGATGCAGCTTTAGTAGCTTGGGATGAGATGGAAAGTTCATAATTTTGCACAATAAAAAATAATGGGGATATTTTGGATCTAACAGCTTTTTACTTAGTGGCAGGGTTTTAAAGAATGAATTAAAGAGGTTCCGTGAGGAATAGGTATAATTGGATGGGGAAAGTGGAAACGTCAGTCACTGTAATTACATGATTATGTTAACGTGCCCAGGTAGCTCCTGGAATTTCTTGGACAAAAGAACTATTTTCAAAGTATAAATATTGCTGGGGCAGCATCAATGGTGGGATGTTTGGAATCAGAAGAGAGCATTTGTGCAGTGGTGAAGCCTGGTAGGAATCTGGTTTGTTACATGTGAGGTCCCAGAGGAAACTTGACTTTGGTTGGTTCTGTTAAAGTTCGAGGCTAATCAGGCCCAGGGGGCAGTGCCTTGTGTAGGAAAGACCTTGTTCCTGCTGCAGCCGGCAGGAGTGTAAGCATGGGGCAAAATGACACAGACCATTTCATTCATTTTGCAATGAATGACATTTTTATTGACCAGACACTTGGGCTCATGGGGAAATTGCTCTGGCCTTTAAGCTGCATGAGTGAGCACTGGGAATTAGGCAGTGTGGTCGTTTTCTAATGCTCCCTTTAATTCTACTTTGACTACAAGCTCATGGTAAGTAAATATATGTACAAGGGTAGTGAGGAGGCAGGTGTGGGGCATGTGACCAACATACACCAAAACAGAAAACTAAACTCACTACCCTTGAGTTGATTCCCATCCTAGCAACCCTATAGGACAGGGTAGAATTGCCTCTGTAGGTTTTTGAGATTTTGATCTTTATAGGTGTGGATGGCTTCATCTTTTCTGCAATGGAGTAATTGGTGGCTGCAAACCTTTGGCCCTGTGGTTAACAGTTCAGTGCGTAACTCCACCATGCTGACAGGGCTTCCTAACACAGCTGGGTATAAAAATCTGGCTCCAGATAACAACCTTGACTTCATTAGAAATTTTGGTGTTAGAAAAATCTTGGTAAAGCAGTATGGTCAGGGTTTTGAATAATAATAACACAGCTCTTGGGTGGGTATTGCATGTGGTTGTTATGCTTTCATTGATTCCAATATTTCCAATCTAAAAAGCAGGCGTCAAGCTCCAAATTTGTGTATGTGTATATGGGAAGGGTGGAGGAGATTGGGGGTGGTGGTGAGTAAAATCGCATAAGAGGGGCTTGGCATAGGAAGGGGTGAGGTGGGACTGGGAGTTCATCTTGAAGCAGCAACCTGTTTTTATTTAGCTGGTGTTATGAATATGTAACAATCACATTTTCTAAAGGTACCTTTCTTCATACCTTACTGAGGACTGAGGAAATCCCATCCATCTACATCAGGGCATATGATCATTTGTATTTGTGTTCTTTTTTGTGACTTTGAACGACATTGTCCTTCAAAGTCATCACAAATAAAATCTCCAGTGAATTTGGAATGGCTGCTGGAGATTAACAAAGGCAGGGGAGTGAGGATAATGTGTTGAGGATGAAGGAGATCAAAAGCTAAAATCTAAGGGGTTTTTTTGTTTTGTTTTCAAAGCACACACCTAGGAGCCCAGGATATTGCTGAGTGTTTTCATTTTGTTGCATCTTTGAACTCTGCTTTGAATAATTTGAATTCTCTACTTCGGTCTGTGTTGATCACTTTGGGGTTAGACATTAGGGTGGTTAGCCTCTCCTTGAACAGAACTCCCCCTTGTAATCTTCCTACCCCTGACCCTGGAGAAGGACCAGCCTAAGGAATTTTTCTACTCAGTTCTTATCATATCCCTTGGTGGATAGGGGACCTGGGGCCTACTCAGCTCTTATCATATCCCTTGCTGGATAGGGGACCTGGGGCTTAGAAAAGTTCTTCACCAAAAAACTTAAGTTCCTTTAAGGAGAGCAACTGCATTCCTTGCCCAAGTCCATATGCAGCTGGAGACTGTTGCCCTTGGATTCTATTAATAGGACAATGCTGAGTGAGGGGGAGTGAGAGGCAGGGCAGACAGTTACCACAAATCTGGTTAGATGCTCTTAATGCCCGTGTTGTTCTTTATTCCTCTATGTGTTTAGGGAGGGCTTATGTGGCTTGGTTACTTAGCAGAACTCTAGGACAGAATTCTGAACATAAGAAAAAGTCAAGGTAAATTTTAAAACAGTCAGCTCTAAGCATTTTAGATTTTTGAGATAAGGAGAAAATCCTATAGGAACCTGTTCCAAAATGGTTTTTATATTGTTGTGGTTGTTTTTTAACTTGTCATTTGGAAACCAAACCAAACTGTACAATGAACCACAATCTGCCCTTTTTTATAGACTTATCAGTTGGAACATTTTATCATGCTTTCTATCTCTTTTTACACACCTTATTATGATTTTTCTTCTTCTCGGTTTCTGGAAGCCTTTATTAAAAATGTTGGCCAGTCCAAATTGCTGGCTGTGGGGCTGGGCTGGGGAGGGCGGGGAGAGGGAGAGAAAGAGTGAGAGTCCGGGAGAAGACATCACCACAGGTCTGGAGGACTTTATTGTTTCCATAAAACATATTTTTTCCATGTTCTCTTTAGACACATGAAATGAAGGCTGCATTCCTAAGATCTGGCTTGTGGCTTTAAAATAAAAATATTTTTACAGTATATTTTTTTTGTAAGGATGAAAGCATGTATTTTATTAACATTTCCCAAACTCTTTTAGGTCTGAGGCTGACAGCCTCCAGTCTGCAAACTGCTACGATTGAAAATGCATGCTTTTAAAAAAAGAAAGACAGAAAGAAATTGTACCTTTCTGTAGTTAACTAAAGGGGGGAAAGTTCTATGAACCCCAGTATCTCTGATGGAGAACTTAAAACAAAACAAAACAAAACAAAACAAAAACCCTGGGTAGGATCCACCACCGGCTGGCAGAACTTAGCTCACCTGGAGTGATAGTGGTAGTGAGTTTTGCAAGCAGTTTACTGGGGTTTTCGCTCATTGGTGGTTTGAGTCTCATTCTTAATATTCTATAGCGCCCTTGCCCAGCGCTGGTGGCCACGCGACGCCTGGGAACCGAGATAAACAGCACCCAGGCGACCCTTTCCAGCAGTCTGCTCTCACAGCAATGGGGCACTAAGAAGAGCAGCCCAATGTTCCCTGCTAAAAGCCCAAAGGGTTGCCCAGGGCTGGAATTCGGTGAAGCAACGTGCTCCAACAGGCCATGTCTGCCGCATCTTCAAGACCCCACCCTCTTCTCTCCCCTCTCGCTACCAACACCCCCACCCCCAACTTGGGGACACCCACCCTCACCCACTGCGCTGAGCTGACAGTCTCCTGTTTGACCCCTTGGACGCGAGGAAGTGGTTTAGCGCTGGAACGCTTCTGGCGCAGCGAGGCCACCAGTGACTCCCAGCGGCAGCGCGGGGCGCTGCGCCCCCCTCGGCCAGGTCTCCACCCCGCCCCTCCGCCCTGTGCCCGCCCCGTCGCCCCCGCGTCGCCTCCTGCGCCTGGGCTGGAGGCGGATTCTTCTCTCCGGGTTTTCCGAGCGCCTCTCCTAGACCTCCTCCCCGCCCAGGAGGGAGAGAGCCGGGGCGCACTCGCTCCCCGGAGCGACCTAGGGGTGCGCGGGGAGAGGCCTGCGCCAGGGTACTTTCAAACTGAGACGCGCGCATACACTCCCACCCACCCACATACACACACACACACATCTACACATACGCGCGTGCACACACAGGCGCGCGCGCGCACACACACACACACACAGACACTCACTCACACACCCATTTATATAGGCAGCGGCAGCAGCGCCGGCAGGGGTGGCGGAGGCAAGCGCAGGCACGATGGAGCTGAGCCAGCCGGCCACGGCTGGAAGCAAGTGAGGCAAGCCCCGGAGCGCCCCGGGCTTCCTGCAACCCGTGCTTGTCACCCTTTCCAGGGACCCGTGCACCCAGAGGAGACTGACTGGACCGCTCTGCAGGGGGCGAGGAGGAGGCCAGGTGAGCGAGAAGCCCCCCATAGACCCAACCCGCCGAACACACCCGCTCCGGACTCCAGTCCGCTCCCTGCCCAGGTGGACTCGCCGGCAACCCGCGCGCCAGGGGGCTCGCCGCGGAGCCCAGAGAGTCGCCGCCCGCCGGCTCAGGATGCCTTTTGCCAAGCGGATCGTGGAGCCCCAGTGGCTGTGCCGGCAGCGGCGCCCGGCGCCCGGCCCGG